AATTTCTCTGTCTCTTATAAAATTGTAGTAGGAAATCAATATTTTGGTGCTCGAATACACCCATCAGTCTTGTTATCAAGGCCCTCTGATAAGATATAGATCGTAAGTAAAAAAACCAGTTCGATAATAAATGATGTATTATTTTTACCAATGGCTATCTGCTTTAATACACGGAAACATTGTTCATATTGTCTCCATATTTATACACAGCATAGACTGTACTGTAGTGCATCACGAGAAGTCTATCAGATTGGCGCTGTCTGTGCGTGTACATCATGTGCTTGCACCCTGAGGACCACTGCGTCATTTGAAACTCGCAATGTAAGCTATATTTATGGTGTTTTGTTCTTTAACGTAGGCAGTGGGAAAAGCTAATTGGCTGGACATGCTTTCGAATGCGTAGGGCCTTGCTATTGCATTTCTTCATACTTAGAAAAGGGTGCAAAACTGGTGGGCTAAATAGGTCGACCCTAAACTGTATTAATTTGACAATTCAATTTTATTAATCAAGGCGTATTTCATTCAAATTACTTGTTTGCTAATGCAATTTTAAACCAGAGAGAGAAGACTGGGTTTTTCATCGACAGTTTCACAGATGTCGCCTGACCCCAACTCTAACCCAGCTAACTGTAATATTATGCAGGAGCCCTTTCCACACTAGTTTCTCCCAAAGAAAAAAACACAGACACAAAGACACACACACACGCAGAGAGAGAGAGAGAGAGAGAGAGAGAGAGAGAGAAGAAGAAGAAGAAGAAGAAGAAGAAGAAGAAAAGAAAGAAAACAAGAGAACCGCATGACGATACAACACCATAATCTGCCTTACCATCCTCGGTCCACTCTTGCTGCGTGGAAGAAAGCAAATTTGAAGGTCAGCCATTTTATTGGAAAGTATATCACAGCACTTCCAAGAACGAGAATGGCGACCGATATCCCCCAGTATTGAGCATGTCGATGTGGCAAAGACGGAATGTAGCTTGGGTAACCTGCTAACTCTCCGTATCTCCAAATTGTCAAGACAATAGGTAATACTATAGCAATAAATCTAATGAACTCCGTCAACAAAAGTCTCTTCTTCAGGCGTGGGGATCTGTCTTGTCGCTGTTCCCTTTTTACGCCATCTTCGTCGTTGCAGTGACACAGAATCGTCTGACTGTTTGCGGTCTTCTAGTCTGCTGCTTCTGATCCCTTTTCCATATCCAAACTTTGGTCTTACTCATCAAATGTCCCGTACTTCGTAGCCTCGTCACGTGACCATGTCTAATGTTTACTCCTCAAACATTGACTTGTATTAGTTGTTATGGCGGGACCAGATATGCGACTAATCTAACACTGAAGTGACCTGGGAAATACAGATATACATGTATGAAGCTAAACGAATATTGCAGTGCTGATAAGGCAGTCAAACTCAGTGATATCGTTTGATCCCTGTTGGCATTACATCAAAAACAATTACCGTGCTGTAAATTTGTTGTGTGCACCAAAGTTATACGCCCTGATAAAGTTATCTGTTTTATGGGTCTAATAAAGGCTCTTCATTAGATATTAGACACTGCTGACTCCGATTAGTCCTTCATATNCAACATTATTAGTTGATTTTGTAAAAATGATGGTAAAGTTGTTATCGTGTATTGTGTAATAAAGTTTCAAAAATGGAAATAAACTCATATCATTGCAGTTTGTCAGATTCAATCATTCACTATGTTCAGAATCTCAGAATGGAAATTTTAAACACTGCTCTATTGATATTTTTCCCATCTCATTAATTTTTTTAGTTAATCATATAAAAATGGCAGTAAACTGTTAATTTTGTTTTATGTTAAAAATTGTTAAAAATGAAAAAAAACATATCAGAACAGTGCTGTCTTGTTTACATTTTGGCATTTTCAAGTTGTGACTTTGAAGTTCCATGGGCCTGAAGACCTTTGCTAGTCACATTTTCTGAATACCCATGATACTAATGTTTTATTTTTAAGAATTGATGGTCATTATACTGTTAAACAGTATTTAATATTGCATCAGAATAGAAGAAAACACAATTTTGGGTGCTGCTGTCATGATGACCATTATGGGAAAACCACGTTACTTATGATTGCCAAACTTTCAAAAAAGAAATGCAGGACTAAAATGCAGCCGGAGTTGGAAAAGCAGTCTAATTGACTTCTTTTTCTGGAAGTTATACATTTTCAAAGTGTGAACTTGAACTTCCATGGGCCTGAGGCCTTATGCGTGTTACACATTTTACTTACATTGGTATTACCTGTTGAGCATAATTAAAATTTGATGTTGAATTTGCAGTTTAATGTTGAATGTTGAATGTTGAATGTGCTTTTGCATCAGAATTGACAGTAGCCTATTTTGTTATTTCCTGCTTTTTGTCTGTACATTTGACAGCTTCGCTGCCTTGTTTTTTTTTATTGAAATCGCTCCCATACTCCCCCTCCTCCCCCCAGATTTTAAACAAAATTTCAATAGCTACGTTTACGGACAGATCAAATGATACAAGTTATATTAACAACACAAAACCAAAATGATTATGTTAAGTAAGATTTATAACATTACTCAACTGGAAGACCTTGCCCTGCGTAATAATCTGCTCTGACAGTGTCGACGCACTGCCAGTCGACAGAAAAAGTTCGAAAAAAGGCCAATGGTAGGCCTACTAAATGGCACAGAACCCTGCTTAGACAAGGAATGAAACTTTCCCTATTTTTGCTCAGTAAAGGATGCTGTTTAAATTTGGCATACTTAAGAGTTTCATGCCTTTCTGATTGCACACAGGCAACTTTTTGTTGATTTGATTTTAGGGTTTAATGCGCTATGTAAACTCTTGGGCACCTAAAGCTACTTGCGCTTAATCCCATTGGACACATACATTTTGTTATATTTTAAGATGAAAGCAGCCGCAGGTCAAAATATTTACCCATGTGGAATTCACCAAACATTTTAATTCACTACCTATTTCATGCTGAAAAGGTAATAGGCCCTATTAACCATCCTGCAAAACTGATGGATTATAAACAGTTTTCAGTCATTAAAACTAACAAGATATTGTTCTGATATGTAGGCCTAATTAGAGACGTAAATAAATATTTTTTCTAATCTTCACGGTGATTTATTTATCACTGAATAATTAATGATAAGCAACAGCGCAATGACCATGGCGTTATAAAGGTAGGCAATAACACAACTTTTTAAAATACTTATTAAAATACTTACTGATTAACAATTCATAGCTTTATTTTTATGTACAGACACAGATGTGTCTGTACATATAGCCATCATCTGCGTCTGTCGTCGCCGTCGTCGCCGTCGCCGTCGCCGTCGCCGTGCANCCCATGGGCCTGAGGCCTTCTGCTTGTTACACATTTTACTTACATTGGTATTACCTGTTGAGCATAATTAAAATTTGATGTTGAATTTGCAGTTTTATGTTGAATGTTGAATGTTGAATGTGCTTTTGCATCAGAATTGACAGTAGCCTATTTTGTTATTTCCTGCTTTTTGTCTGTACATTTGACAGCTTTGCTGCCTTTATTTATTGAAATCGCTCCCATTCTCCCCCTCCTCCCCCCAGATTTTAAACAAAATTTCAATAGCTACGTTTACGGACAGATCAAATGATACAAGTTAAATTAACAACACAAAACCAAAATGATTATGTTAAGTAAGATTTATAACAATACTCAACTGGAAGACCTTGCCCTGCGTAATAATCTGCTCTGACAGTGTCGACGCACTGCCAGTCGACAGAAAAACGTTCGAAAGAAGGCCATTGGCACTAAATGGCACAGAACCCTGCTTAGACAAGGAATGAAACTTTCCCTATTTTTGCTCAGTAAAGGATGCTGTTTAAATTTGGCATACTTAAGAGTTTCATGCCTTTCTGATTGCACACAGGCAACTTTTTGTTGATTTGATTTTAGGGTTTGATGCACTATGCAAACTCCTGGGCACTTTAAGCTACTTGCTCTTAAACCAATTGGACACTTACATTTTGTTATATTTTTAAGATGAAAGCAGCCGCAGGTCATAATATTTACCCATGTGGAATTCACCAAACATTACCAAACATTTTAATTCACTACCTATTTCATACTAAAAAGGTGATATTAACCATCTTGCAAAACTGATGGATTAAAATCATTAAAACTAACAAGATATTGTTCTGATATGTAGGCCTATTTAGAGACGTAAATAAATAATTTTTTTCTAATCTTCACGGTGATTTTTTCATCATTGAATAATTAATGATAAGCAACAGCGCAATGACCATAAAGGTAGACCATAAAGGTAGACAATAACACAACTTTAATACTCACTGATTAATAATTCACAGCTTTATTTTTTTAACAACGTGGGTTCATCTTATGCTTAAAAAATATTTCAAAATGATTCACTCGTTGTGACCTCTGCTTGCTCATTATCAATATATAGAAACCTAGCAAACACAGAGCGTCATTATAAATTTACCAGTACGTTTTTTTCGTTACATTATCATTATGGTAACGTTCCGTGTTGGCTGGGGAATTATTGCAATTCGTAGCGCGGTACACGTAACAACTTTTTTTTGAACGTTTGCGTCACGAAATAAAAGTATGAGTTCTTAATTCATTAGTCCTTCATGTTTCACCCCGTTGATGCTTTGAAATGATGTAGCATATGAAAGGAAGGCATCGTTTAAAACTTCTCCAACGTTATTTCAATAGATCTACTGGTGTGTGTGTGCGTTGTGTGTGTGTGTGTGCATGCGTGTGTGCCTGCGAGCTTGCGTGAATAATCCGTGAGTGCGTGTTTGTGTTTGTTTGTTTGTTTGTTTTCCAGTTTACAAATTGACTATTGTCAGATGTGGATCCCTTGTACTGTTTAAATGTTGCTGCTTCTATCAGTTCTGACATTTGTAATAGTATGTGGTATATGTCTGTTCATTTGACCGCTTTGCTGCCTTGAATATAAACCATGCTGCGATGATTTTTTTTTTTTTTTTTTTTTTTTTTTTTTGTCACTGAAGGTGTCTGTATAGGCCTATTGTTCAGCTCTGGCATTTGAAATAGTATGTGGCATTTGTCTGTTCATTTGTTCGCTTTGCTGCCGAAAAAATAAACCATTCTGCGACATTTTTTTCTCTCACTGAAGGTGTCTGTATATTGTTCAGCCCTGGCATTTGAAACAGTATGTGGCATTTGCCTGTTCATTTGACCGATTTGCTGCCTAAAATATAACCCATTGCTGCGATGATTTTTTCTCTCACTGACGGTGTCTGTATATTGTTCAGCTTTGCAGTGTAGTTCGTACCCTTTAGTTACCATACAACGGTAACAATGATGATTTTGCACGTTTAGTAAATACACAACATTCTGTATATTATCTAGGAATTAACTACTCAAAAATATTTTTAGTCTTTGTGAGCGGCTGATACGATATACCGGGTGCATACATTTGGTGGGCCTACTTTTGGTCGATTAGGTGCAGTATGTAGCCTACTCATATATCCCGATTTTTTTGCATAAAAATCTTAACGAAAACAGTTCTCGCTGTAGGAATAGTCTGGTTAACCAAAACCCCCTCAGAGTTTTCTAGCTACAATTCCTCCACTTCGGTCATATGAATTCCATTTCTTTCCCCCTGCGACGTCATTTCCTGTTTTGCGTCATACCGTATGGCGGCACCCGGTTGACGTTTACCCGGGTGCCGCACAGAATGTGTCGTGCATTTTTCCTTGCTTTTCACACGGGCTAAGGGACTAGTCTGACGATGCTGAAGCATCCACAGCTGCAGGGAATACATGATGACGTAGGCAAAACTTTTTATGGGGTGGATTAAATCGCTGATCATGTCTTGATCATGAATAATGCCAAAGTTCGCCATTATTGCCACTCTAACGACAAGAAACGGCCCATCCTGGAGAAGGAGATTACAGAAAATATAAGTTCTTGCTCGGGGAACGTCCATGCTTTCGCACGTGCATTCTGGTGGCACGGGGATGAACTTGAACATAGACACAAAGGAAAGGGCAAACAGCACATACACCCAATCAGATTGGAACACGTGCAGGTCATGTGCCAGAACAAACATTTCTATGATGTCATAAGCAGTAAATAGGTCGTTTCCCATCGCTGTGATGACGTCAAAATTAAATTCCCCTTCTCTCAGTTTTGCCATCCACTCTGTCACCACCAGGTTGAATACGACGATTTGTATTGTGATGGCCGTTTTTGGGTCTAGTTCAATGGGCGTTTCAACCTGTTTAAAAGATTTAAATGTGATATAAATTAATCATTAGGTTACCCAGAGATGCATACCACCTTATCTTATTCTATCCGTTTATTTGTTTATCTTGTTTATCATATAAGGAAACAAGTAGGTCGATTTTTATTTACTTTTAAAAAGTACGGAAAACATTTAAACATAATTCTGAAAACCTGCGTTCAGTTCGAGATACACCAACAATTTGCTTTCCCAGTTCTCATTAGTTACCCGTTTTATTCCACAAAACTGCGGTGTACACATTCTCGTCGTTGCAAAATTTGGTAAAACATGTAGCATTGTGTGACAGTCTTTACCTTGACCTTGGTCCCAATGAGGTTGACAACTAGGCAAGGCAAAGCACAGACTAGCAGGTAGATCACGATTGAAGGACGCCTGAAAGAACGTAAAACCTATGAATATGTATATTATTCATTTATATGGCTTGGTAGAACATATTTAGTGCTTTATTTAAAAAAAAATTCCACTCCCGCAATCCTTGTCTTTAAGAAATTCATAGAGTACTGTTCATGTATACCGCCACGAGTTTCTGGATTTGATTTTGTTTGTAACACTGGACCTCCAATCTGGACAATTTGGGTTGGCCGCGTTAATGATTACGGAAATGCTTACATAAAACAATTATGTTGTTATCAGTATTGTTCAAGTGCTGTAGTATCTACACTACACGGAAACAACACACACGCACCTCGGGTACATTTTCTGGCCCGTAGTAAGCAATTTCAAAGGGGGGGGGGGGTCTATTTATGAAAAGGAGGACCCTTTGCCATGAATCCCTCGTGTACCTAGATCAATTTTCCCGACAAAAGGGGCAGTCCACTTGAATTCCCGACCCCCCCCCCCCCCCGGCTATGGACCTGATTTTGTAGAAACACTCACTTCCAATGCACTACTAGTGTGTACATTGTACCACGGGTCTGTTACAAGCAAATTCAAAAGGGGAGGGGGGTTCTGGAAAAAAAAAACGCGGACCTTTTTACCCTCTTAAATGAGCCACAATGAGATAAGAGATGGAATCTAGAAAAAATTCGATTCAGAGCGGGCCTTTTCTCGTCAAAATGGCAATTTTTTCGAATCCCTGCCCCCCCTCACTTCCCATCTACGGGCCTGTATCAGTTAAAAAAGGGGTTAAATCAGACCTGTAGCCAGGGGGGGTTCGGGAGGTTCGAAAGAACCGCCCCTTTTGCTGGGAAAAAGTCCACTGTGGGTAAAATTTGATCTAGGAACATGACGTTTTTATGGAAAAAGGTCCACTTTTTCAGAAAAAGAATCCCCCTTTTGAAATTGCTGGCTACGGGCCTGGGTTTCGTTGTCTCTTATAACATGGTAGTAGGAAATCAGTTTTTGGAGCTCGAACACACCCGTCAGTCATGTTATTAGGACCCTCTGATAAGGGATAGGTTTAGTTCATAAGTAAAAAAAAAATAGTTCCATAATAAATGATGTATAATTTTTTACCAATTGCTATCAGCTTTAATACACGAAAACATTGTTCATATTGTCTCCATATTTATACACAGCATAGACATTGTACGAGTGCATCACGAGAAGTCTATCAGATTGGCGCTGTCTATGCGTGTACATCATGTGCTTGCACCCTGAGGACCACTGCGCCATTTGAAACTCACAATGTTAGCTATATTTATGGGGGATTTGTTCTGTAACATAGGCAGTGAAAAAAGCTAATTGGCTCTGCATGCTTTCGAATGCGTAGGGCCTTGCTATTGCATTTTCTCATAGTTAGAAAAGGGTGCAAAACTGGTGGGCTAAATAGGTCGACCCCAAATTTTATTAATCTTGACTATTTAATTTTATAAATCGAGGCATATTTCATTAGACTGCAAAATTAGTTGTTTGCAAATGTAATTTTACGCCAGAGAGGGAAACTAGGTTTTTCATCATCGACAGTTTCACAGATGTCGCCTGACCCCAACACTAACCCAGCTAACTGTAATATTATGCAGGAGACCTTTGCGCAATAGTTTTTCCCAGGGTTAAACACACACACACACACACACACACACACACACACACACACAGAGAGAGAGAGAGAGAGAGAAGAAGAATAAGAAGAACGGAGAGAGAAGAAGAAGAATAGGAAGAAATCAAAATAACCACGAGACGATATAACACCGTATTCTGCCTTACCATCCTCGGTCCACTCTTGCGGCGTGGAAGAAAGCAAATTTGAAGGTCAGCCATTTTATCGGAAAGTATATCACAGCACTTCCAGCAACGAGAATGGCGACCGATATTCCCCAGTATTGAGCATGTCGATGCGGCAAAGACGGATTGTAGCTTGGGTAACCTGCTAGCTCTCCGTATCTCCAAATTGTCAAAACAATAGGTAATACTATAGCAATAAATCTAATGAACTCCGTCAACAAAAGTCTCTTCTTCAGGCGTGGGGATCTGTCTTGTCGTTGTTCCCTTTTTACGCCATCTTCGTCGTTGCACTGGCATAGAATCGTCTGACTGTTTGCGGTCTTCGCGTCCGCTGCTTCCGATCCCTTTTCCATAACCAAACTTTGGTCTTCCTCATCAAATGTCCCGTACTTCGTAGCCTCGTCACGTGACATGGTCTAATGTTTACTCCTCAAACATTGACTTGCATTAGTTGTTATGACGGGATCAGATATGCGACTAATTTAACACCGAAGTGACCTGGGAAATACAGATATATGAAGCTAAACGAATATTGCAGTGCTGATAAGGCGGTCAAACTCAATGATATCGTTTGATTCCTGTTGGCATTACATCAAAAACACACACAATTACCGTGCTGTAAATTTGTTGTGTGCACCAAAGTTATACGCCCTGATAAAGTTATCTGTTTTATGGGTCTAATAAAGGCTCTTCATTAGGTGTTAGAGACTTTTGACTCCAATTAGTTCTTCATATGTCTAATTGTATTTTTGTTTTAATTTTGTTTTTCGTTTCGAAATCCTTGGTATTTTTTCTTTATATTAATACATTACAGTAATAATATAATATAAGGGGTGGACACCTCTAATATAAGGCAATATCTAATATCAGAGATAACAACTGCGCCTGACGCTCATAACATTCCTGCCATAGTGATAGAATGTAAGCCATGTACGCGATATGTCGTGCTGATGTATTGAGTCATTGACAGAGACTTACCACCTGTGATCAATCGATACCATCAAGTGAGGTCCATTTTATATGCATAAAAATATTTATTTATTTATTTGTTTATTTATTTATTTATTTATTTATTTATTTATTTATTATTGTTTTTCTGCTTCGTTAAAGACGAGGGACATTTTTAATACTGGCTTAATACGTTGAAAAATCATACATACGTGGTGCATTCATAATATTATATAATTCGAATTGATAGGTTAATCTAATCTGCTGCTCTAAATTCTTATGACTGAACAAGCTCATGTGATGGTTGATTTTTTTCAAAGCGACTCTTTCACAGTGCAATGGGTTCCTGATATTGCTTATTTATATACTAATTAAAATTCTATTTTTGACTTATCTGTCATTATCTTTTTAAGATATGGCCAGAGACGGAACACATTTTGTTATTTTGCCTACATTAATCCGTACAGGGTGATATCCGTAAATAAGAAGAAAGGTCAAATTACATATTAAATGTCAACTGTCTTTACACACGATTATTATTGACTTAATCATCTGACATAATTTTCATGTGTAAGCTGTACATGATCATATATATGCTATGTGTGTCAGTGTTGGATTATCTTGGATGCTTCTACATTACTTATAAATCGATAAATAAGCCTTATAGAAGACCACAACAGCTAATTTGTTGTTGGTTACATTTCGCGCTTCAAAATATGAGTCAACAAAATTACGTGCTTCAATAAACTTGATTATGCGGTAAGTAGGCCCTACTCTCTACGAAATATGCAGACGTGTTAGATATCCCTGAGTGAATAAAAAGTAGTATATAATATGTTGGTGGTGTCGTTTTTAAGCTTTAAAATATTATATATATATATATACAAGAAAAACTACTGTGTTAGGTGAGCAGCGTGGTTGAGACTCGCTTGTTGCAGTGCATCAATTTTAAAATGCAGTGGTAATGTGCTGTGTGTGACCAATTGGCCCACAGAGGTGAGTTAATTAAGGTGCAGGAACCACAAAATAACTTAATTCAAATTTTGATTTTAGCTTTAAATTTTAGATCTTTTTGAAGGAATCCACCTGAAAGAAGTAGTAGGCCTACGCCTGCTGTAGTAAAAGAAACAAATCACTGACGGACAAATCACTTACTTTATAACTGATGAATTCATTTTTCACTTTTTTAAATTATGACCAATATTCAGTCTTCAAGTTATCTTTGAAACTGGTTCCGTAAAAGATACGTAGACAAGTCTACAACTTGGATCCTTTTCCATTACGAGAATTTGAGGCTGCGGGGAGGTGCTGGGGAAAGGCTCGATATTCTCTAGTCAAATTTGGAAATCAAGGATTGCATCCTGATACACTCATGCGCCTGTTTAAAGGATACTTTGGGGAGTGCGGGGGGTGGGGGCACCCTGAGCTTCAGAGCTAACTTGACACTAACCTTTTCACTGTAGCCTATCTCCATCGTGTCAAGTAACCTCTGACCAGATTCGAGTGCCCCCGCCGCCCGCCAATCAAATTTAAAGCCCGCACTCAATGACTCATTGAACGAGCTAGCCAATGAACGCGAACGAGTCAAAGCGCGCTTTGTTCAAATCCGGACCAATCAAAGATAAGGCTGAATATCAGGGACTTGCCGTAACCTGTGGGCAGCACGCAAAATACATCATCCCTCAGTAGATAATGATGCAGGGCATCATACTGCTCTGGTTTCAATTCCGATATACTCCGTGCTTTCTTTGTGTACGGTTATGCACTCGGAACCACTCGGAACTACTCGGATGTCTCCGCACTCGACAATAACTATGTTGTTAGTATGGAGCTTGCGGAATCAGCCGAGGATTGCCGATTGACGATCAACCAATCAGCGTTTTCACCAAACTTTGGTGAAAAATTTTGAAACATGGATCCGATTGGCTTATATAAACTAGGTCAAACTATTTTCGTCAGAGGTTACTTGACACGATGGAGATAGGCTACAGTGAAAAGGTTAGTGTCAAGTTAGCTCTGAAGCTCAGGGTGGGTGGGGGTGGCGGAGGGATAATTTTCTCTCATTAAGGTGGCACAAAATCAGTTTCTGATCTCCTGACTACAGTAGCCCATCAAAGTATACGCAATTATAACAGTGCATGCATCTAAATATTTGGAAATATTATTTTACATAAATATATTATCATAATATTATTAGTCACAGATGTGTCCCTGGTATTTCTACACACTGTACTGTCTACGTTTGGAACTGACGTCACCAGTCAGCTGAGCTCTGCTAGAGTAACAGTATCTATTTTGCACGCAAGTTTTGTTGCAAAGTGACTTTGTTATTTCTAAAATAACAAAGAGAAAAAAACACGTTTGCCTTGACAGTCAATGCCTCTGTTGGAGCGGAGAGATGATATGGTATAGTGTAACCAAGGTTTAATTACCCATTACTCTGTTATTTAGGTCTAGGAAAAAAAAACAGCAACCGTTGGCTGCTGGTATACTGTAGCTGGCCCACAGACCTAGACCGGCGCTTGATAGTCTATCACGATTCAATTGAGACAGAGCTGGTGAGGCTGAACGGGAAAAGCGCGGTGATACTTCGACGGGGGAGACGTAAGCTCTTTGACACATACAGTTTGTGATTCATCCGCCGTGTTGTTGCGTGTTTTCTGGCCTGACACGCAGGCAGTCATTTTTTCTTGGCAACGATTGAAAGCACAAGCGAGGTTTAAATTACCATCATTTGGTTACCGTCTTTTATTACAGTTTCTCCGTTGATCTAACTTTGTGGCCGTGCTCTAACTCATATTTCACAAGTATACTGATATCATAGCAAAACGTTATTTTCATCACGCTTTTAACCAGAATTTATATTTGCAGCTTTTACATAATCAAAGTTAAATAAACTACTTACCTAAATTACACTTCTTCCCATTGTGCACCTCGACATGAATAAAATCTGAGAGTGACAAAATTGCTCTACTTAGTTATTGCAGCTGGCGTGGTTAACACGTTAATTATCTTATGAGATAAAATGCTTTGAATAACACAAAAATATCCCCACAGTTTACACCATCATTAATTTCATTTTTTTGTTTTGTTTTTGCCAAGTTATGCAGTGGTGGAAATTATCCCTTATGATTTCATTGTGTCATGGTGTCCTTTTTTACTAAAAATGATTTAGAAATATAAAATAATTTTATTATTATTATATTCAAACAGATTTCTTTTCAGTTTTCAAAATTATCGAAGCCCTTATTTTGCAAAAACACGTACTCCGTCACTCTACAAATCACTTGCACCTAAAATTATAATAAAAAAGCAGCACATCCTTAGGCAAAAATAAGTTTTTCGCGTGTTTATGGATTAATTTATTTTGTACATTCACGCATGATATTTGTTATTGATGAAAATAGATGCCCAAAATATTAACCCTCAGATGCCCCATGTGACACAAAATTTTCCCCAACGTTATGAACAACGTTGTGAACAAAAATATTTAAATTTAACAAAAACCTATGGTTATGGAATTTGCTATTTATCATTTCATATGAAATGTTTGGCCGGGAAATATGAAAATGTGTTCAATATCTCAGTTATAAATGCAGTGTATTTTAGAAGTGGGATAGGTTTTAAGATTACGTAACAAAATTAAGGTAAAATAAGGTCTATCTATCCGCACGGAAATCTAAACATGTAAATATACATGTATATTGTTAACGTCTACTTATCAAATTTTTGACGCAAAAAAAAAAAAAAAAAGAAAAACTGCACAAAAAATTGTTATCTGTATTTTTAATAGGATAAAACTTTCTCTCTTTATCTTTTTCTCATCATAGAAAAAATTTAGCACTACGTCAATTGTAATGTATAGATTTTTTTTCATTAGAAACGTTTTGCTTCAATAATTGTAACTTTAAAGAGCATTTACTTGGCTGTAAGATGTTGTTTTTCATGTGATTGTACAGGTAGCATCATTATTCATATCTCTGAAACATATTTGTCAAGCATAAGTCTAGCAATATCGTTGATGAAAGTGTGCGCATCGCTTTTGGATATTTGATACAAGAATGATCCACCATTCTCTTCTAATTATGTTACACGGATGATCATTTCTATACGCACGTTTGCCAGGTAAAACATAAACCTCTGAACGAACTTGATCTTTTCATCAGCAAAAATGGTCTGCTTCCTATTTCACTCTATTTTTGATTTGGAAAACACTTGAGATTCAGTTTAGCCTAATTTTTTTCAATCAATTTGCTCTCAGACCTGACTTATAGATTATCAGATCGCGTGACGGGTGATTAGAGATGCGTTTCAGTCCGCGAGGGATAAACACGGCAACCCTTGTCTTAACTCATCATTTAATGGGTGTTACCTTAATGACCGTACTGAAAGGAAAGAGAGGAATTACTAACCCCCGATGGACAGGCGCTAAGGAAGATCATTATTTATTACTTTGCTGGCAAGG